TACATGCGACCTCCCATCTAGACAACGCGTCTGGAATTATATTACGGGACCCGTCAATGTGCTCGACCACGTGCACGAACTGCGCCAAAAAACTTATATACCGTGCCTGACGATCGCTATGTTTGTCAGCTTTTGTGGTAAACATGTAAAGCAAAGGCTTGTGGTCGGTACGAAGAGTAGTGGTTCTGCCCTCGATAGTGTAGAGGAAATGCTTGACGGCTTGGTAGGCCGCGAGTAATTCACGATCATAGGTACTGTAGCGAGTTTGGGTGGGTAATAATTTACGTGAGCAAAATCCCAACGGCTGCCAGGTGCCATCCGCATGCTGTTCTAGAACCGCTCCCGTCGCCGTACTTGATGCGTCGGTGCTCAATCTCAACGGTGCATCGTGTCTAGGGTGTGCCAGCGTGACCGTGTCTGCCAGAGCTTGTTTGCACTTTTCGAAAGCTTCGCGAGTGCTTTGATTCCAAACTAGTGGGCCGTCTTTTTTCCGGACCGTGGACGCGAGCGCGTACAACGGGGCTTGTAATTGTGCAGCGTGCGGGATGAACCGGTGATAAAAGTTGACCGAACCTAACAGCCTTTGTAGTCCCTTTTTGGTTGACGGTAGTGGCCACTTATGAATGTCGGACACTCGTTCTGGAAGCGGCTTGCAACCGTGTTGGTTCACTACGTGGCCGAGGAAAGTGAGTTCTGAAACGCCGAACACGCACTTCCCAGGATTTATTGCGATACCGGCGCGCTGCAAACGTTGAAGTGTCTCGCGCACGTTGATCACATGTTCGTCGGCGCTGGTGGAGGCGATTAAAACATCATCGATGTAAGCAAAGGCGAAATCCAAACCTTGGATGACGCCGTTTATGAAACGCTGAAACGTCTGTGCTGCGTTCTTGAGCCCAAAACACATGACCGGGAACTCATACAAGCCGAACGGCGTCGTGACTGCGGTTTTTGGTATATCATTTTCAGCGATGGGAATTTGATGGTAAGCGCGTACAAGGTCGAGTTTTGAAAAAATAGTTCGACCTGCTAGGTTGGCGGCAAAATCGTGGATGTGGGGGAGTGGGTACCTGTCTGGCTTCGTGACCGCGTTCAAACGCCGATAATCACCGCAGGGGCGGTAAGTGCCGTCTTTCTTGGCCACGAGCAGCAAGGGGCTGGCCCAAGGACTATCCGACGGCCGACATATGCCTTTCTGGCACATGTATGCAAACTTATTTTTCGCTATGGAGTACTGGTGTGGCGGCAGGCGGCGTGGACGCGCGAATAACGGTGGTCCTGTCGTGTCCAGCGTGTGCTCCGTAGTGTGAGTAAACTTGCTCGGGACCGGCGATTCACGCGTAACTGCTGGGAACTCGGCAATAATATCAGTCCAACGCCGTGGGTGGACTACCGAAAAAATATCTGTAACTTGTACGTTAGCGACGCTGGTTTTAATAGCGGTGGACGAATCTTGGTCGATGAGGCGGCGGTTGCGTACGTCAAGTAACAGGCCATAATATTTCAAAAAATCGGCACCAATAATAGCACGCGAGACGTCCGCCATCTCGAAACGCCACGGGAAAGAACGTGCGAGGCCGATGTTGAGACGTAGATTTTTGGGTCCGTAAGTGCGGATCCGAGTGCCGTTAGCGGCTGTGAGAACCAAATCCGACGAGGCGCGATGCCTGGCGACAGGTGGGATAACTGAGATGTCGGCTCCCGAGTCAATCAAAAACTGTCGGCCGGATCGCGTGTCTGTGATGAACACGCGACAGCTGTGGTTCGCGGCGGTAGACGTGGTTGCGACCGCCGCGCTTGCTAGTTTTCCGACTTAAAAGAACACGGCGACTTGCAGTGCCTAGCGTCGGCGCCGTATTGATTATGATAGCTGCACCATTTCGGGTTGTTTTGCGAGCGCGATTTCGAACGGCTCCGATTGCGACCGTACCCGGAATTATTACGAGACTGCTGTGCGGTGATCAGGTTGGAGATTTGTGTAGTCAACGAGAGAATGGCGGCCTCCATGGCGCGGAGACGGTCGTCCGAGCTGCTCGATTGCACCGCGAAAACATCGCGCGAGGTACTGGCCTCCAAAACGCGATCTGCGCGTTCGGCGATATCGGTCAACGTCCCGTCGAGGCCGGAGACTATTGCACGGAATTTTGACGGTAACTTCTGTAGCCAAAATTGCTTAAGCGCGGTGTCGTCTAACGAATTAGGAAGCACCGCTCTCATGCCTCGGAGCATTTGGGAGGGTCTCCGATCGCCCATTCCGCCCGGTTCGACAATGGTGCGAAAACGAGTTGACGGCTGCACTGAAAACGTGTTGATGAGGCGGTCTTTTAGACTGGCGTAGGACGTGCTGGGGCCGATCAGGTCGCTTACAGCCTTGACCGCCTCCTCGTTCAAGGCTGCGAGCACGTGGTTCACGCGCGGAGTGTCGGCGCGAATTCTTTGGTTTGAAAACACGGCATCAGCGTGTAGGAACCACTCGTGCGGGGAGTAAGTCCAAAAATTCGGTAGCCGGGGCACGTGGGAAACACTGTCAACCGAGGTCGTAACGGTCGCGGTCGCGGATGGTGACAGCTGGCCGGGTGCACCGGTCGCATCTTGCGGGACTTCACCGTCAATCATTGCGAAAGAGTAGTTGCGTGTATATGTCGCATCCACATCGCGTTATTGTACATTTCACGAAATGGACAACGTTTGCATCCATTTCGCGAAATGGAACCGTGGTTTCTCCACTTCACGTAATTACACAATATGGATGATATTTCGTGAAATGGATACCTAAACCATCATCGACGGAACTTGTTCCGTCATTTGGATGTCCATATAGCAAAACTTAAAAAAACTCTAATTTAATTATTATTTTTAAGTAAATGTTTTACAAATTGGTACTTTAATACAAACTATTATGCTTACTAATTTTTACATATTATATTTAATGTTTTACAAATATTATAATATTATAATACTTTAATACAAACTATTATTTATTCAGACAAGTTTGTGAGTTATGGCAGCGAGAATTACATTTTAAATTACCTTTAAAACAAGCACATTTTTTAGTTTGACATTTGCCTTTACAACAACAGCTTAAAAAACCTTGACCTCCAGTTAAAGAAGAGACAATTTCTCTTAATGACATCTCTTTTGTCTTATTTACTTTCTCGATGTCAATGAAATTTGATGTGGCTGGTTGTATAGTTCCAGGACCATACCAACCTTTCAGTATGCCATGTTCAGTTCCTAAATGGTTAAGGTCATTTTTTTGGCCAATCACTACTCCAATAATGTTGGCTGGGTCTGCAGGACCTCTATCCA